CATCTTTATCTGCTCTCAGGGCCCTCACAGCCGTCCTTCTCAGTTCCTGGTACAGGCTGGAGTTGCCATCAAGCTGTGTACTGTGACTCCTCTAATATCCAGGGTGCCCTGTGAGATGAAACAGCTCCTTCTGGGAACACCGACAACACCAATCACCAAGACAACCCTCAGAAACCTTCAGGGTCTTGTCATGGAAGGTCTCCTATTTCACATTAGAATTGGCAGTCGCACCTGAGTCTGCAAGTTCCTCATACAAACTACATGCAAGCTACAGTAGGGCTGCACAATTAATCATAAAAAAACACGATCTTGATTTACACCTCTAAGTGATCTCATTTCTAAATTACAACGGCTCTTCTGCATGGTATCACATCAGCTGGATCAAAACAAGCGCTCCTACTTTTCCCCAGAGAGTGTCAAGCATCCCATAATTCTGCATTCTCTTTAAAGGATGTTTTTCCACTGCACCAGGTACCTTACTTATGGTTTTGGTGTAAATACCAGTACTGCAACGGAATGACATCACCGCGAGAGGCAGGGTATTTTGTACTGCTTTTGAAACATGGCTGTATATTATAGGGCAGGATGATGTGCGATATTAATACCAACATCGCATGTTGTGTATGTGCAATTCTTACTTCACCAGTCAGCTAGATTAAGATCAGGCTTTTTCTTACTTTCAGTTCTGTACATGGACATCATAGTGCAGGGAGATTAAGTTTCACTTAAACATAGGAAAAAAATCAAGTTTTGTTTTAATTATTATTGCTTTTCAACATTATTTACTATATGTTTAAAATCAGTTTAAAGTTCACCTCCACTGCTTTTGCATGAGCTCTGCATGCATTATCTGTCATAATCATTTTCATCCTTGCTGTTTAAATCACTCCTAAATGAGTTTTTGATAAATTTATGTTGAACTCTTTTTTGTCTTATAAATACCCCAATATTTATTATAACACAATCATATTGCAATACTTAGGAAATTTCCAGTACCATGCCGCTTTAGTATATTATACCAGATACTTAATTTCTTTCTCTTTTTTTTAAATTCTTTTATCTCTGGTTAAAGCTTGGGTCACTTCATTTGTCCATCAATCCATTATTATTATTTAGTACCTCTTTTATTGTTGTTTTCTGAGTTCACAACTGCTTTCAAGGCGGAGGTTGTATTGTGTTTCATAGGCAGGCTATTTGCATAACAATTCAACAAAGAAAGTGTTTCAAGTCCCAAACAAAGTACCCCACTGGGCCTTTTGGTACTGGAATTTCTGGTACAGCTGTTTTGGTTACCCTAACTGAATGGCCAATTGAGCGTTTCCTTTCTGTTGTCAGAAGTTCATAAGCTGGTCCTGGATCAATCATATGTTCAGAACAGTCATGTTTTGTTGTGTTTCCTTCTGCAGTTCAATAAATGCAATAAACGTTTAAATTTAAGAAAAAAAAATTGTTACAGAGAATCGTAATCTCAATTCTAAGCAAAAGAATTGCTCATTAGAAACAGCCTGATCTTGGAGTCTGGCCAGGTCCAGCCTCATTCTCTTAGTAGGTGGTAGCTTATTGGACCTACTGTAAGCTATATCTTAGCAAATTTAGCAAGAACAAGTCTTTGGACAGATTTCACAAACTGGGTACTTCTGTAGACCCTGCAGTTCTGTAGGAGCCTCCAGTGTCTGCCCACGAGGATGTGATGGATCAACGATGCGGCTCAAGACGTTGGAACAAGGACCCAGCGACCCGCAGCCCCTGACTGTTTGTAAAGTCAAGGAACATGGAGCCACTTTCACTATGGTTGCCAGACCCATGGGGATCAACACAGTCCTCATAGCCAGCCCTGTGGTCACAATGAAGTCACCCATGACCAGAGCACTGTCACCTCGTGGGCACCCATCAACCTCCATGCAAAGTTGAGAAAAAAACATCTCTCTCGTCAAGGCATCACAAACTGCGGTCGGAGCATAAACTGAGGCAATAGACTAGACACCCAGGGAGTGACTTAGCCTGAGTCTCATAATACGCTCATTGAAAGGAGTGACAGTGGACATCATCAGGAGCTAACCTGTCACAGAAACAGCTACATTGGTTGTTAATATTTTTATAAGTAAGATAACTATTTTATAAAGATAATAATAATTATTATTATTGTTATAAATCCTAGTACTACAGCCCCCCTCCCCCGCAAATGAACTAATAACTAACATAGAGTATAGTGCAGTTGAGATTGGAGTATTTCACAAGCGAGGTAGAAGCTTGCCTAAACATGGAAAGTGCATTATTTAGTCCAGTAATGGGTCAAAGGGAGCTGAATTTGTGTCCCCCAGGCTGGGTGGGGATGGACACGAGGAGCCTAAAAGCATTGGACAATTAGCAGTAGGTGACAAGGAGCATCTCAAGTGCTCCGCCGTGCATCTCAGGCAGGAGACGCAGGCTGACAGTGCTACCAGCTCTCTGTGGAGAGAATGGGTCTCATTATTCAAAATGAAGTTTGGACACCATCCTTCCCACTGCTTCCAAGAAGTCAATCAAACACAGTCTTATGACAGCTTCCTGATGAAAAAAAAAACAAAAACTTTCTTTCCCCTAAAAAGTTTGTTCAGCTAACCAGCGTCTGTCACGCCTGTCATTATCCCTCTGCAAATAACAGAGAAGAGCATGACGCTGGCAATGATGGACTGGTAAAAAGTGTAGCATTTTTCTGCACCCCCTGGAGGAATTTTTTCTCCTCAAGAAAAACAACCTACTCTTCACTTTCTTGTAGACTCCCACCACGGTGCATGTTGTCATGTCAGTCCAGCCTGTCATTGACAAAACCATTTATACAGTCCCCTTAGATAGTGACAGTGCCCAGTATCTCCCTTTTCCATCTGAAGTCTACAACCAGTTCTACTCTCTTTCTGACGTGGTAATTCTAATATCACCCAATAAAGTGGTCATTCTAATATCACCCAATAAAGTGGTCATTCTAATATCACCCAATAAGTCTTTTCCCAAGATTTTTGACCTCCGCTTCTAACTCAATTAGTTATGCAGATGAATGTGGTCTTTTGGTGAGAAAATCTCTAATATGGGCCGCCATGGCATCCTCAACTTGTATCTGTGTTTCCCCAGCTGGGAAAGCTGGAGGGTGTTAAAGTCAATCAAGACAACGGGAATTCCTATGACGATGTTACCTGACTTGTCCAGGGATTGTGAAGCAGGGTACAGAACAGCATCTTCCATACTAATATGTATGCAGACAATTGTGGGTTTAGCAAGTCCTTCATGAGTAGTGTGAGATGCTGGGGCATCAGGCTAATACCTTACATCAGGCTTATTCCTTACATCAGGGATTGTATTCCAGTGGTCTATAGACATTAGGAGCACTAAAGTATCCTTCTTGGGGCACAAGGAGTATGCGTGAGGTTTCCAGGAACAGGTGTCTTTTGTATTGAGACTGAAGAGTTAAACCTGTATTGTGGAAGCTCTTCCAAATAAAATGCACAGGCTTGTATCATTTTAGGTCTAATGCAATTAGGCCCATTTGCTTTAGTTATATGTAGCCAGCCTAACTCTCTTCCAACCTCAGTGGAAGAGACAGACAGTCTTGGGAAGAGGTAGAGGTAGGCTGACAGGGGAGGATCAAGGAACATGGGAGGGTTGACCAAGACAGGTGTGAGTCAATGAAGCCACCCCACTGGGCTGAGGAAGTACGTGTTGAACCTGCAAATGAAGCTGTATAACTTGTCTCGCCCCTGATGTTCCTAAATTCACTATGGCCATCTGCTTCTCTGTAGCCAGTGATCTTCCTCAGTCCTTTCCATGCCTCCTTCATGCTGACATTCTGCAGCTTCCATTCAGTCCTCTCTTTGTATTCTTCAGTTCCATCTCCACAGACCTGACCTCCTCTCGATCGCCCATCAGGAAAGCACTATCTTTCTTTCTGAAGAGTGTTTTAATATCCCCTCTGATCTTGGGCTTATTAGTTGGAAAGTTTTCTAGACATAATTATGTCCAACAAAAAATGTTGTAGTATTGCAGTGAGAGAGCCTTCTTTACAACAGAGCCCAACAGGTCCTCTCCAAGCAATTCTGCAGAGCCTCTGTTGTCTTCTGGCCACACTCTCAGAGTTGATGGTAAAGGGCTGCCGCTCAGCAGCACCAGGACTACAAAACCGTGGTCTGACCACCCAAGGGGAGGGAGGGCAACACAACTATATGCATCCTTCACTTGAGCAGAGATCCTGGGACCCGAGGCTCATAGGAAGCAGTTTGATTTGTTCTTGCTCAAGGTTATACCAGTCAGGGTTAATGAAGATTATCATCCCACCTCCTTTCACTCTTTTTTCATTTTTGTGTGCACCAGCTGGAAGCCCTCCAGTACCATGCTGAAGTCTGGTGTGTTCCTTTGCAGTAAAGACACTGTATGAGCATTACACTGGTATTCTGTTTGGCTTCTTACCAAGCAAGAGCTCCTCATCTTACTGGGAAGCGCTTTCACTAATCACGGGTGGGGCTTGCGGTCGTTCCTTCTCTCTCCCTCACCCTAACTCCCCCCATTTCTTCAACGCCTAACCTCCAACGGGATCGGCCTCGGTTTTTGCTCCCACTGTGTGAGATGCGTCATCAACGATGAATGACCCAATGAAACAAAAACAAGCAAAATGCAAACGACACAAAAAAACAGAAATAGAACTAGAATAAGAAGAACAGCAAAGATCATCGTAATCGCAAAAAAGATGCAAAGCCGGTTGATGAGGCCATGAAATATGGCACCATCTTGGAAGAAATTCCAGAAAAACCATGTCTGGTTTTCAGGGGTTCCCGTTTTAATTTGCAAATGCGCACTCTAAGGCAAAACCGGGGAATTACACGACATTTACAATGTAATCCCTAAGGTTCATATTAATCTACTCGAAAGAAAAAAAACATAATTAATGAAAACAGATTCTGCCGCAGATGCTGCTTTATTTAGAAACAGCTTTATCAGTGCGGGAATGTTGCCTCTGTGGGCAGGGCTGTCACCTCACGCTGTGAGCTTCGGGATTCAGGTGTGCCATTGGGCTGTAGGGTTCACCTTTGTTGAAGTCTGGAACATATGGATGAGAACGCTAATTATTCAAAAAAAAAAAGCTCCTCCATGAAACGCTGAAGGTAAAAAGTGCATTTTATTTCAAAATCAAAATTAAATTAAATATAGTGTAATTAAATGTTTGCAGTTGCGAAGATCCGGTCCCGGGGTAAATGTGTACCATCACCTTGACCGAAAGGAAACACGGACTCCTTTGTAGAAACATTGTTCTAAGCAAAGAAAAATGTCTTCCTCGTTCTTATCCTTTTACACCAGAACATGCAGTACTGTGGAGAGATCTAGCACATGTGAAATGTGCCACTTCTATCTTATTACAACCGACAAATCAAATCATCTCTCCCGCCCTCTCTGGATTTGGTGAGTTATTGGTTCTAGAGGTTAACGAAGTTGAGTTAATCCCCTTTAACTGTTCAGAACAAACCTGCCTGCTAGCTCGCAAAATAAATTAAAGACAGGTATTAAGGGATATGCATCGTGCATATCTGTGGGTCGTCAGGGACTGAAGGATGTCAGCTGTGTTTGAGTTTGTGAGTAGAGCAGCAGTGGCGACGGAAAGGCCGCGCTCCTTGGAAGCTCCAGGACTAAGCTCATTTTCTCCATAAAGAGCAGTTATGGCCTGTTGATAAGTGTTTGCTGAGGCCCTGTTTGTGGAGTTTGCCGATCTTGTTATGTACGTGAGGCAGTGGTGGCCTAATGGTTAGGGAGGCATACGTGTAATTGAAAGATTGCTGGTTTGAATCCCCACACAGCAAGGCACCACTGAGGTACCCTGAGCAAGGTACTGCTCCCTGGGTGCTGAATTAGCTGCCCCCTGCTATGTCACAATGGGAAATATGGGTTAAATGCAGGAGACACATTTCATTGTTGTGTGCTGTGGTGTGTCAACACTGATCTTTAAATTATTGGATGACAGTGGGAAGAACAAGCATTTATGTTCTACGTTTACAACAGCAACACAACATCCATTGAAGATCTCGAAGTGTTTCCAAACTGAAAAATGTTTTCCGTTAAATTTTGGAAGATGGTGCTAGACGGATTCACATGTTGGATAAATTTTTGACACTGATGTCAAGTATCATTTGCTGACAGGTGAGAGCAGCAATCTTCTTCAGTGCCATTTCAATCGGGGGCGTTTGGTCTCTGTGCTCGGGGCAGCCTCTCCCTGGTGCTGTCCAAATGAACCAAAACAACTATATGCTAGGTTTTACAGGACACAACCTGCAATTTGTAACCAAGCAGAATCTAAGCACTCACAAAGGCTCAGTTTGACTTCAAAGAATACAAGTTTAAAATGACAAGAAAGGGATTATTAAATCATATCTTGATCCAAACAAAGCTGTTTTTGTTACTCATAGAGAGTAACAATAACATAGTTATAAATATCCAGCAAACTACATGGCATGTCCTTGTTCGCAAATATGACACAGTAGACGGGGGAAGACGGGTGTCACTCCAAGGGCTGCAAACAAAGTTCTACATCTTGCCTGGAAGGAATACCCAGCATGCAACAGGCCAAACGGAATCCATAATGCAGTAACCCAAAAGAACTCCTGCAACACTTGGACTCCTCCTGTGCTTTCCTCCCAAGCTTCTGTGTTCATTAAGTGTCGTTAGGCTTAAGTAAGTCGGAGCAGCAAGGCCCTGTATTACAAGCTGTCTGGAAAAAAAGCAATAAAAAGCTCAAAATATTAAGGGTGTTGATGTTTTCCATGAGCAGGCAGAGTGGAGATAAATTACAAGATGCGATGAGACAAACAAGGCCGGTAAATATGGCTTTGTCTCTCGGCAGGACCCTGGGCACAGGGCTCCTGCAGCTCGATAATCCCATTATCGACGCTGGTGCAATTCAATAAAATTATTTGGCTCCTTATGGAAGACGAGGCCTCATCCTAATCATTGTTTTCCTGGTCCAAACTAGCCCGGTGTCCCAAAAATACAACTCTGGAGGAACCCTGCCGTCCAAAACCATAAGAACTCGAAAATGATGATCCAATTTTACACAAAACATAGACGTAGTAATGCCCAGCAGCTATTCCCGCCTTGCCGTCGGCTGACTTCAGTGATTACTTTTAGAACTTTCTAGAACTCTCATTGGTCTTACTCAATCTGAGCTGCTACTTCAATCGATAGTGTGCTATTGCAGTAAAAATATAAACGTACACCAAAGTCACCATCACACATATTCCACCCAGAATCCCCTTTTAGCATAATCATTGAAGTGTAATTAACTGTTCTTGAGTCTTTTGTTATATAAAGTACTAAGTCTAGTGAATAATAACTTGCATTTATATGTGTATACATTCGTTTTCAGCCTTTTCCTAACCAGAGAAGGGCGGAATGAAAATGGTCCAGAGCTATGGACTCCAACCACTAACGTGATTCTATTGATAACTAATGATTAAAGACCAGGGGGAGCCCTCTGCCGCCCCCCCCAATATTTTTCAATCCGAGGATAATAAACGGTTAGACTAGGATGAGAAAACATTTAAAACTGAAAAAGAAATAAACAGAGACTAATGCACTATTATGTACAATTTGATTCTTTGTTTCTGCATTTCTACCCATTCATCATGACATAACTAAGCTGCTAGTTTAAACACAAGCACATTTCGGAATACACAAAGCCATAAATACTGAAAGAAAACCACAAACACACCCGCAAAGAAACACTCAAAACAATACACACACACACAACCTCAAACGGCACAGAGAACCACTAACTCAGCAAAACAAAGAAACACACACACACAACCACAAATGGCACAGAAAACAACCAATACAGGGTCACACACACATACACACACCATTCAGAAAGGCACACAGAGGCACGCAGCCACACACCCAAACGTGTCACCCCACTCTATGACAGATTCATTGCACCATGTGCTTCCAAGTTCCGGAATGACTACTAGGGGAGCGTGAGCAGGATACAAGGAATTACCATACACATTCCGACAACAAGATAAAGGCAGGCAGCTGAATTAGGCTCTATTAGTCAGAGCCATGGGCCATTTAAAGCTTCCATCTGCACCCAGTATTTCATCTTGCTTTTCAACATTCCCTCAGGCATTCCGAGTCACACCATTTGGCTCTAACTCTAGGCCAACAAGACGTTTATGGCTTCCAGGGCACCGGTAAGTAAGGAAGCATTTATGCACCCGCATGTCTCCAGGCCTGGGCAGTGGTGGGGATGGTGAACCGCGTTTCGCCTGCACCACCGGGGGGCGCCGGTCACCACAGGGGCATTATCACAGCTGAGGAGGTGCGAGGGGCCCGAGAGATGCTACCATCACACACATGGGGTTACAGATGTGGGTTTAAGGTTCTGGTGTCTCACAAGCCACACTCGCGAGCTGGCACCGAAGCCTCGCTCACGCAGTGCCACTGAGTTAGAATGCGCCCGATGGCTATAAATAATTGCATGCATCTGATCACAATTTTGCACTCACTTGCAGAGAAAGTGGTGTCACTGTGAACGGGGGGCGTAGACGGGAGGAACGAGGGGAAGAAGAAGGAGCGAAGCGTGCGCTCGGTGTGGAGGGGCGAGCGCTGCGAGGGGATGTTCTCGCAGCTCCCCACCGTGCTCTGAATCTTCAGGTTCAAGGGCTTGTTCTTCTTCTTTGCTCTGGAACACAAACAAAGAGCACAGGGGAAACCATGGCCATATCGCTAACAAGGCATTAGCAAGTAAAATACACTGGATGGCACAAAATTTGAGGAATTCTACTGCTAACAGAGAGAAGGGCACCACAGAGGCCAGAATTCACTAATTAGTGAATCTATGGTGTTCACCAAGGCACCATCCTGGAGTCTTTTCTGTTCCAAGTTATTTCTCAGTTTGACCTAAAAGTTTGATCTAAAAGCTTTATATATACAGCCGTGGAAAAAATTAAGAGACCTCAGCACAATTTTTCTTTCACCCATTTCTCAATTTGTAGGTGTGCTTCTGTGAATAATGTATGTATTCATTTACAAACTGGGCCTGGTTCTTCCCTGTTTCTCATTAATGAAGGGCTTCTTCCTTGCTTTATGGGACTTCAGTCCTGCTTCTAGGAGTCTGATATGAACTGTCCAAGTAGTGCACTGCACACCTGCATTTAATGTTCCCATTCTTTTTGATGTCATCCTACGATTCATGAGAAACTGTCAGATGAATTAGCGGTCATCTTTGGCATTACAAAGTCGCTTCTGCCCTTTACCTGCTTTTTGGTCATTCCCAGTGTCTCCTCCTTCACATTATCCTTGTGTACTGCTGTCTAAGATATTTTGAGCCTTTGAAACTCATCAGAGGTGTTTTTCAATTATATATTTCACCATAATTTTTACAGAAGACGGATTGACAGCAGAACGCTGATTAAACCAACATTTAAAAATGTAGATTTGTTTAAAAATATGCGCATAAACTTGTACTTTGTTTTATAAACCCCATAACCTGTTCTCTTTTTTATCTTCTGTGCCTGTTTTGACTGATTTTCATCATATTCTAACACTGCACTGTACTACTTGATCACTTCTGATACAAATTTGTTCAAGGGGTTCATGCTCACTACAGAATAATGCAGTCCTTCAGTGAGAATGTGTCCTGCACCCCCAACAAACATCCAACACAATCTAATCTAAACAAAACGGAGCTTGGTTTTACACCTCCCCTACCCCATCTTTCACAATTTGCCTGCTTTTCTCATTTCCAAGATGGCTGGCTTGAGTGAGACCTCGCCAGACAGCTCATTTAAATACCAGTGTATTTTGCCCCTAGGATGTTCCCTCAACTGATTCATACAATTATGTTTTCAAGCGGCACGACTCGGTGCAAAAGCCAGAGACAATAAGGAAGGAAGCTTCGGGTTATCAGTTTTTCACCAAAGCCTTTGTTTGCAATTTAGATAAAACCACATTATGCAAACCTCGAATTTTATTTGTTCCATTCATCTTTCCCCACGCAAGTCTTTGCCCAGGGATGAATGAAGATGTAAAAGCCAGACCATACCAGTATCATCCATTCCAAAATGGGCAGAAAGACGATACTGGGGTTCTTAAAAATACTGAATGTTCATGTATCCAAGGAACAGCATCAAAACGGCAGCCTTTGGGCTACTGTCATAGATGCAGAGGTTGGTAGGACTTCAGGACGCCCACGCAGGTCGCGTGGTTCTTGCCGATGCTGGAACCTAACCTGAGAGTTCTGAAGGTGCCTGTGAGATGGTTCCCCTTTGGGGAACATGAGCAGGGAGGCTGGGTGCTTTGGAAACACAGCATTAACTACTTTCTGATGTTACTGCTTCTTGCGTTGATATAAAACTAACTTAATTACAAATTTAAGTAACCTGCAAACGACTATAACGAAAATGATATAGCATTTAAACAAGGCTGTAATTGAATCGATCCTTCCTTAATTGTGGGGGAGTGCTCAGTCTAAACACTCTGGTGTTGTGAGTGTCAGACGAAACAACAACGTTCTATAACCGGGCCAGGAAGAGGCTTTGGTGCCTCTCTGATCAGTGACAGAGGAGAGAGAACGGAGACCCGTCCACCAAAGTTGATGCCACACCACACGGATCTGAACTATGGGCAGTAACTCAAGAAAGAAGCACAAGTCACCCAAGTTATAGGCATTCCACAGACCGGCTCAACGTGCAGGAATACTTTTGATCCATGTGTTTGAGCATAAATATTATCTTATTAGTGTTTGTGATGCAATTCTGGAATTCCGTTGAATGTGTACTGTATCTGTGATATCTTTTTTCCAATAATTATCCTCCAGCACATTTCTTCAAAGCCACCAGCACGTGGCTCAGTGGGGAATTTCAAAAAGGGATGATAAAAATTCATAAGGGAGGACAGTTGTCCCCCCACCACCACCTTCCACCTTCAGCACCCCCCCCTCTAGCCTGCCAACCCCCCAAACACCGCACACACACCCTGGTCATAAGCAGATTGACAGCCTTAATTTACATATATTCCTGTAACCACACACAGTAAAAAACGGCTTTGCCTTCAAGCACTCTATGTGCACTGTTGCCATAGTGATCGTACACGACCCTCAGACGGCAAGTAAGTGAATAAGACATAGATTAAAGGTAATGGTGGCTCACCAGTGGACCTACTGAGCATCAGAAGCTGCGCTAATGCAGGTCTGACAGCAAGCTTGGCACGCCACTTCTGACTTTTATAAGGTTTATCATGGCCTGGTGGGGGGTGGGGGGGGGACCCAGCCTATCGCATTTTTTTTCTTTCATAACTTGTGTTCTTACATCATTTTGTTTCATTTTCCGCAGACCCGTTAAATCAAACAATATTACCTGCTGTTATGTCTATCTGTGGCGTCGTTATTCCTTTCACTGCTTCAAATCAAGTTTTAATGGTGTTTCTATATCGCCGTTAAGAGCTCTGGGGTATCCGTGCTAGGAAAGGTGCTGTATAAATGATGTGAATTAGCACGCCCCTGGCACATGTGAAGGAAACCCTGAGAATCTCGCCGCCGAGTCCGACTGTATCACAGCCACAGTACTGGGACAATTCCCTGTCATCACTGTTTCATCACTGTTTTTAACTAATGCAGAAGTTGTTTACTTCATGTGGTTTGAAATTAACATTAGTGGATCCCTCCCTCATCCCACCAAATTCAAACAGAAGTAAGATTCTCAAAGAATTAAAATATTTTCAAGACAATTTTTATATATTCATATTTTTACATATTTATCGAGTCCTCCAGCACTATGTAAATGAAGATGTTTGTGCTCCTTTCCTAAGCATCACTTCAAAATACCTTTATTCTAATTTGTGTATTTTTAAACAGGCTTGGTGAATGCTAGCTTTATCTGCAGCATATTCATTGCAACAAGCACTGTCTGATCTGCGCCTATCTATGGATAATGAAGATGCTTTCAGGATAACTGACGGAGCTGGCATGTGTGTGTGCGTGTGTGTGCGTGTGTGTGGGCTGGGGGGGGGGGCCTCTGATTTATTTGGCAGATCACAACCTGCTGACGAGCTCTGGGAAATATCAAATTCCGGAGCTATTCCTCTCTGCCAGTCGTCTTCCGCTTTTTAAATGGCTGTCACCAACCCTATTTCCTTTGCGCAAACAGCGACTCCCTAGGGAGCCGTTCCGACGCCAGCGATGTCACCGCGGCGCCCAGACACCCTCCACCAGCAGCGCGAGGGCGCCGAGGTGACGCGGCCGGGGGGGCTGGGGGAGCAGTCGGCAGGTCTTAGGGTCATCACCGAGCGTCCTGAGATGGTGCCATTAACAGCTTGAAGAGGCACCTCTAAAGGGGCCTCGCTATTCAAATTCACACCTGCCACACTAAAAAAAAAAACCAGAAACGCTCAAAGCAATTACCCTGAGAGAAGGGTTGTTTAAAATAAACAAATGTAAGGGACTCACTATAAATGGCAGACTGATGCACACTATTTCTGCCTTGCAGAGATACTGTGCATCTTTAATGGCCGATTAGCTAGTCCTATCTGCAGAGCTATCTGTACTTCCTACATCTTGGGCATGTAATCTCCCCCCCCCCCACCCCAGACTAGGCTAAATGTTGTTGTTAGATAAAGGTCCAAAACTCTAAAACAGGGTCTTATTCTGCCGGACACCAGCACAGTATAAAGCGTTCCACCTTTCCATTCCTGGAGATCCGTGAAGACACGCTTATCAGGAACACTGCTTGTCTTTTTTCCATAGGCCCCTTCTGTCTTGCTAAAATAGGCAGATCCTCCTCCTGCAGCTTCGCCAGCTGAGTGCTTCAGGCCCCTGCCGAGGCTGTGAGTAGCAGGCCACGATGGCTAGCTGAAGCTAAACGGGCAAACTGTGAGGACAGCACACATCGGTTCAGGTATTTACATACCAGCACAAACTGCAGCAAATAGGAAACGTGGCATTCAGAGCCATACAAGCTAGGAAGAGTCATTTTGCTGCTGTGGGTTGAGAATTGAGATTCTTCTTGTGCTACCTTCAAGCACTTAGAAAAACTCAGCTAGCTAAAAGGAGAGTGAACATCGGTATTATAAGCCACACAGAGGGATTGTTTTCTTCTACATAACGTCGAGAGTACACAGACACGCATTAGTTTCCAATACGTTCATATCTTTACGTAAGCTGATTTGCCTGGAGTTGGGCAGACACTGCTGTGAAATCATGAGAGCAGACTCACAGACACCGACTGGAATAGAACATCCGCTGGGATGTGGCAGGAGACCCTGATCTGGCTCGATCTCCCCCCACCCAACCCACTGCTTCTAGGGTCATACCCTCGACCTGCTCTGCCCCTCTGCTCCCCACAGATCCATCAATACCCAGACCTAATAAATCAATTATGCACGGCCAATCGGTAGCATTCCAGCGGGCAAAGCTGCACGCGGCCGGGAGCTCATATAAATTCATAATCATGACTTCAATCTCGCAAACTCCTTGGAGGAGCTCGGCTGCTTATTAGAGCAGGTGGACTATGTCAGGAATTAGCCTCTCCGGCCCGCACGTCGACACCCCTTTAACCTGAGTCGTCATTAATGGCGGAGCGGCTGAGACGCGATTAACATTCCCTCAGAGTAACACGTGGACACGCGCACGCATGCAAACATACAACGTTACATTCCCTGTTTCGTGCCCCCACATCACCAAGACGATGAAAGTAACCTTTATTTATGATGCTACCTGACTGAAGGCACACTGGCATACTCGCCTGGAGATGGTCGATCAATAATCTGATTAAATGAATTCTTCAAATATACCCCGAGTTGTTTCCTTGCTGAGATCCTGTGTCCCCTTGCAGGATCTCTGGAGGGTTTATGCCCTCCGGACGCATTCATTTCAGGTCCCCGAGGAAAATGTAAACACAAACTCTATTGACTGGTTCCAGTAATTCTATTACCATAAATAACCAGTCAAAGATGTTTCATACAAAGCATGTTTACTCTGTTATATTGAGTGATCTGGAAAACTCCCTTCACAAGCATCTGCGGCATGAATGATTTATAGAGATGGCAATGATTTCCACTGCATAGCCATTTCAATTAGAAGCTAAAAAGAGCAATTGGTAGACCCTCATTTGTAATATTTACTGATGGTCTCACAAACCATATTGAAAGTGGGACTGGATAAAAGGCTTTCCTTTTAACTGAAAGACCGTATAACATTGCACTTTCAAAAAGTCAGTTCTTCTCATCTCACCAAAGGTAAACAGGCATGATGAGGAAATTCAAAGAAGGTTCATAGAATTGAATTCTCACTAGAAACCCTTATAAAAACACATTTTTGTGCAAGTTTTTTCATTAAGTTCCACACAAACAGAAGCAAAAATGTGGTCTGGCCCAGAATCTGAAGTCTGAATTAACTTAACAAAACCAGGAACAAAAAAAAAAACCCCTAATGTTTCAACCAAAAACATTTGAGCTTTGGTGATCAGAATTTTCTTAACGGAGGAAAAAAACAGTAAAAACTAGAAAACACCTCAAAATCAATAAATAAACCATTAGCAGCTACACAAAAACATTTATGACAAAGGCGCCTTTGGAGGGAGAGAGAGTACAGGCGCTGTAATCAAGCTAAACCTTCAAGCTGCCAACGGAGTAGATGCCAATATCATCCTTCAGGTGGCTGTTGGTGAAACCGTCCTCAAAGGAAGCAGAGAGCTGGTGAATCTTTCCAAGCCTCCCCTGCATTGCTTCAGTATCCACACCAGAGCCGAGTGATTCATTGGCAAATATCGTTAACATTCATATCACCAAGAAAGCTATTAAAGACAAAGGGGACTTTCATAAGGCAACATCAGAGACATGAGTCTCCTCACAGAGATTCAAGCTGAAACGTTCTTCCAAGGCCCAGAGGGACGGCAATGACACCAGTAAGTGCGTAAGAGACTCCCTCTCCTGTATTAGCATGTTGATCCACATTAGCATACCAAATGAGCTTCATTAATTATCGCTCAAGCTGAGAGAGACACTTGCCTGAATAGGCGAGGGTGGGATAGTACAACAAAACAAGCTAAATGAATGGCAGCCACTTCACTCTCATTCGCTACCAAGGTTTAAGCTATGTTCTGCTCCGTGGGGTGTGCACAAATCTACAGTCCATGCGTTCTCACTCCCAAGAACCACGATCATCCACCACCCTACCAGTTTCCATTACTGTCCAGACAAGGTTCGCCACTGCAACCCTGTGTGTGATTAGCTAGTCCTATCTGCAGAGCTATCTGTACTTCCTACATCTTGGGCATGTAATCTCCCCCCCCCCCCCCCACCCCAGACTAGGCTAAATGTTGTTGTTAGATAAATTTCAAAATCTGTGGCAATTGCAAAATATAAAACAGATGGTGCAAATATCCCCTTGAAAGTAGAACCTTTAATTCCGGCATTGGCCGTCGTCGTCGGCAACCCTTATGCACAGTTGTGTTTGAGTTATGTGTAGGCTGTAATTCTACACGAGCCGAACGACTGTTTTCCCCAGCAGAGAGAGGAAGTGGAGAGGACTGACATTTGCATACAGACAGAAATGCAGGCCGGCTGACGCTATTCCACACCATCGGCGGCACAGTTAGAATGGTACGGGTGACTAAGGTTTGGCCGGTAGACAGGTTGTCATCCACAAAGCACCTCCCACAAACACCTCCCAGTCTGTCACAAACTAAATTGAAACTCTACTACTTTTTAGTTAATTGTCTGATCCAGAAAGTACCTTCTTTGTGTTTCAGTTATTAACCTGAAGGACAGCTAATTTAGAATGACTGCACGTGCTGTTTATTTTGTACTGTCTACAGCAGTGTTTCCAGACCTGGTCCTCGGGGACCCCAAGACGGCCCACGTATTGGTCCCTCCTGGCTGACCGTCGGGGGTCCCCAAGGGCCAGTTTGAAAAACACTGGTCCACAGTCTCAGTGTGAAAGTCTGTCATGGCCAAAGCAATAGCTAGGTCTCACATGGCCCTGAGTCGTGGAGACCAAAGCAGGGTCAAGTGAGCAAGACCAACACCTTGAAGAGCAAAACGAATTTACAAGTGCTCCTACCTGCGAACAGCACAGAAACGATGACCCTAGGGGGAATATATTTCGTTACGCTGGCAAAGAGGTCATAAAATTGGGTTCTCTTATTAGGAAGGGGGAGCAAGGGATGTGCAGAAGCTTGGCTCCTCGTTTTACAGCTCACACCTTTTATGTATTGCACTTTTCTGCCGGCCCTTCGTTCTGAGAGACAAACGCATCGAACGTGTGAATGTGAATGAACACCTGGTGGCTCTCAGAAAGCACACCCTGTCTGCAGGGACGATGCAGACCACAGGTTAATTCTTAGTTATTCAGACAACCGGTAATTAAGGAAGCTTGGATGAGTCAGATTTGGGAGAGAGCTTGTGTGGCAGTTTGGTCCTGATATGCAGATACTCACACTAACGCCACAGCAAAAACAGCAGATAAAATAATTGGCATTATTACCTCCTGTCATCATTGTTCAAATTGTTTTTCACATTTTCTAACTGACTCTAAGTTTAGGTAGTTTTTCTTGCAGTTTTTTCTTCTTTTTATTCTATCAGTACATCTTGTTTCTTCCTAGTTTCTTTAGATTCAGGCATAAATTTAAACCTTTATCTATCTCAAAGGTAATTTCACATAATAACCTCAAAATCTGCATGACATTTATTGCCATTAAATATTTTTGGCTTGCTTCATCTGTGAAAGACAGAGCAATAGGTAAGAAGAATTGTAAATATTATGCTAATATTCCTTTCTCAGAGAGGTGCACCCAGTCATTCTTTGTCACCTGTGAATGAGCATTGTAGACTGTGAATGTATTCATTATTGCTTTACAACAACAATGTATCAATGGGAAATATCGATCATAGCATTAAAGATATCATTACAGAAGCTAAACTTATCATTTTAGCATCAGCCACTATTAATGGGACACAGTTTGCAGTTACATATGATCCTGAAATCACTAGTCTTGTCTTAGCTGTAATATCCTACACACCAGGTCTGCTCCCCAGGAATTGGAGAGAACAGAGGGGCTGAAATTTGCATGAGAAGAGAGGAATGGGGTCTCACTGATGCTGTTCCAAACTAACTGTATGTTTAGAGGCTGAAAAAGACAGATGCCGTGATGAGAACGGCTTGGGTGACCAAGGTTTGCCCGCTAGAGGGTAAGTGTGGCTTGTCATGCATGGTATGACAAGAGTGAGCTCCAGAATTAGCAAATAGCTGTCTGTCATCACAGCAAGAATCACCCATTTGTGTGTATGTGCGTGTGCGTGAGTCAATATTTGGTGTGGAATTTGTGTTGCTTTGCAGTTTTATCTCACTGACATATCTGAAATTGTAGTTAAACCCAAATGTTTTTTAAATGCTCAAGCACATAGTGCCATCTCTGCCTACAGTAGTTTAAACTGTAGGAAACCACCAGACTGACCAGTGGCTATTTGGTTAAACTAAACCACTGTGGGTCTTTCCTCACTAACTAGCTAACCATAAGACCTGTCACTACGCGGATGATCCAGTGCACCCCCACGGATTAGCTATGCGACATTACTGGGCGTCCTCTTTGATTACAGCGTTCATCTCTGCATCTGCTCTGTGTCAGAGCCCTGGGACCGGTAATCGATGGCCTAATGGCAGATGATCCGTCCTGCTCTGCATGGCTTCCCGCTGCTGGCCGAGCACAACACAACGCAGATGGCCGGAGCAGGAGGCCGACTCACATCGGGAGAATGCCGGCCTTCTGCCGCGTAACCGGATTACTGCTGTGGCTCCAGCTCCTCTGGGGCCCCCTTCCCGGCTACCTGTAGCATCCTCTGGTTACTGTTACACTAGACAGGGCAAATTGGATCACGGCTCCGCCAGACGCGGCCGGCCGGCAGGAATTCGGGCTTTGGGCCTGTCCTCTTCTGAAGAGTTAAACGTTCATCTCTGACGATGGCCTACAGGGCAAAGGCAGCGTGATCCAATAAGAGAGATGAAGGAAACGGGTTCGACTGCAGTGGACAGAAGATGGAAGGCTGGGCTGGCATGCGTAAATCCCCATTTCAGGATTGGCATCACTTCCTCTGTTCATTTACCTGCAGGGATTATTTTCTGTAACCTGCTCCTTGTCTATGTTCATTGACTACATTGACTACTGGCTCTCACATCAAGTTCAAGTCCTTGGTGCTGGCTTTCAGAGCCATTAACGGACAGGCACCCATCTGCTTCAAGATGCTGGAGAAGACCTACATCCCATCTCACCATCTCTGATCAGCAACCTATATCCCTCCACCATGTGAGAAGTCTCCCTCCAGACACTGCTCACGAGTGAAGATGGTGGGATGAGCTCATCAGTTCCCCTCTTAACCATCAAGGTCCTTGCTGCGTTTGAAAGGTGCTGCAAAGCTCCAGTGCTACTTCCTTGTTACTGCACATTCATTGGAAGCTCAGCCTAGCTGCACTTATAACTAACTGGCCCCTTGACGGCTGTATCTCTGCAAAATTGATAAATGTGAATGCGATGCAATGCTTCGCTCTGAGCGAATGACCCGGGGCACCTAAAAGCATGGTGTTCCCTGAGCGACTCACACTCCACCTGCAGATGATCTGCTCCAAGGTCAGTTTATAAGCAGCACCCGTGAGAATGCGGCCCGCGGGGAGGGACGGTCTGACTCACTTGGGCGTCTGGACGTCTTCCATGCGGTTGCCCAGCTGGAACTCGTGCGACTTGCTGCGGTGCAGCGCGGTGAAGCCGGGCAGGAGGTGGATGAGCTTGCGGGTGGAGGGCGGGGGCGTGCCGGGGGCCTTGCCCTTGTTTCTCCTCCTGGCAGGCGGCGTACCGGGGGGCGTCATGGTGTGCACCACCAGGGGCGTCCTCGGGGGCGTGTGGGGGAAGTGTCGCTGGCGCGGCGAGGGAGGCAGAGAGCGATGGCCGGTGTCCAGCACGGGGAAGAGCGCCGCATGCGCCTCCACCGTCAGCCGATCCACGTGGCTGTAGGAGGGCGCCAGGGTCTGCGGGCTGGGGCTGAACGGCTGGCTGTATTTGGACTGGACCTTGGGGCTCTGGGAGAGCTGGAAACGCATCCACTGGCTGGGCTCCTGCGGGCAGGCGGGCGCGTTCTCCTTCCCCGACTCGGACGCGGGCCACTGGATCGCCCAGTCTTGCTTGGCCGGGCCACTTTCTGGGAGGGCCGGAAAAGAAAGTCGAGCGGGTCAGATGGATGGGGGGGGGGAGGAGGAGGAGACAAAGCAACAACGAGCAGCAGAGGGCCGCGGGCACGCGGCGGCCATAGGCAGTGATGGGTGGCGCCAACGGAAACGGCGGTCTGGTGCCGCGTGTGAGTTATGAAAGGGAGGGGGCATGTGACGGTCAGTAAGGAGCAGATTACACCCAAGGGACGCGTTTGCTTGCGCGGGAGAATATCTCACCTCCATTATCGTGCAGCTTGTCGTCCTCCAGTTGTTCTTGGAAAAAAACACAAACAAAAACATAGATTTAGTGCTTTGAAAGAGGGGTAGCCTTAATAACAAAGTTCAAAATTATAACCCTTTTGTTGAAACAAGTATATTACCGGACTGAATCAAATGCAAACATATTTCATATTTATTAATAGTAAAGTCATACTGACATAACACTTCACTATATTACAGGTGTATGATACATAATTAACATATTTAATTTCCTGGCCGATTGCAGGTAAATTCATAAAAACACATAATAAATAATTGACCTGGAAGTCCTAGACTGCGCTCAGAAAACAGGATGATATCTGTGTGCAGGTGAAGGTCCAAACTCACAATTCAACACAGTGGCTCTCAATGTAGCCCCCCCACTACCTGCGTGCCTAAGCCCACTAATCAGCAGCTTTATAATTAGCTGACGAGTAAATCAGGTGTGTGGGCAGTGGAACATTGAGCACTGGGGTGAGAACCACAAAAGTAACTGCATTACAGTCATATATTATAGCTTCTTTAACAGAAAAAAGAGAGGGAATGGAATGATTTTGCATCTCCAGGTTGTTTCTTTCTTCACCCATCTATCTTCCAACCAGTACAGGGTTAAAGGGGCTGCAGTCTGTCCCTGGCAGCGTAGAGCACAAGGCAGGCACCACTCCACCAAAGGGCACACACACACACTACGGCCAATTTCCAGATGCCAGTTCACCAAACCGCCTGCCCTGCATGTCCTTGACTGCAGGCGCAAACTGGAGCATGCAGTGTCTTCTGTCAACAGCGGTCTGAATTTGTTACAGCTCTGTAAATTGCTGTCAACACTGCAAAACCCTACATTTCAATAATGACGTCACATGACGCCTCTACATGGAGATGGAGTGTGGTTCATTCAGACCGCAGTGTATCAACACAAAATCAGTCAATGCGTGTGTAATTTACCGCTCGGATTAACTAGTTATAAACCGATGATTTATTAACTAGCACTCTTTTAATATTATGGTATGACTTCCGAAGCATTTAGGTCATATTTGGACAAAACATAACATAATATAAAGACTTATATATATATATATATAAGCGTAAGCTGTCAGGTACACTGCTCATGAGTTTGGCACCTGTGCACAAAACTGTCCATATATTGGTGATGATTGTTACTGCTCACTATGTTACCACATTGTAATGCATAACAAGCATCCCTCCTCTGTGTGATTACAATCAGCGGCATGAACGGAGACATCGCCGTCGGCATCACTAATGCGTGCGAATGACAGGCGGGCAACAAAGTAAAACACAAATCTGCAATTCCCAAAAGCAGTTTCTGACCCTTAGCATCCTGCGTGGAAGAGCTGAGGCGACCGAGCATACCATCAAACCAATATCTGTGTTCTTCCTCAAACAAAACTCATTAGAATAGAAAATTAACAAGCCTGCAGTCACTCGCATTCCCATGTGTACGGAAGATACAGGCAAAACAACATAACCCATTCAGTAGATGGCATGTCAGAAGCTGTCCTGGTAAACATCACTACCTGACCTAATAGAGGAAAAGCTGATGGCCGCTTTCAATTTCCCTTCAAACAACATTTAGCACCTACCTTCCTGACCTGGAAGATGTCAGCTTGCCCTGAGTGTTGGGCAGCTATCTGGCCCGACACCAAATCACGTTGGTGTTCTTCCATCCACCTGTATCAGCTTAATAAGTTTTTCTTTTCTTGTGTCAGTTGTCTTTTCTATAATAACGCCAGCTGTTCTATCTGTCTGTGTTACCATTCCTGTGATTACGGTCTGAAATGCACCTGCAACATTGTTTCTAAACCATTGAAAGCTTTGGAGTAACCATATTGGCAGGGACATTGTATCAAAATAAAATGAGTCAAAATGGGTATAAAAGCTCAATCACACAACCTAATGCTGCAATCACATTTATACCGTAGTGTGACCACCCCACTGCCAAACACACGCACATATGAATCAATTCAAGTCTTATTTGGGCATTTCTTAGAGAGTGAAAATGGAATGGTATTGAGCCAGTGAATGCCCTCCAGGCCTCATCCAGTGACTCTGGTCATCCTACGCCTCGACAGCTGCCCCTGGCTCGGGCTCCATCTGGGGTTTCTCTGAGAACCAGCCCCACAGGGCGGCACTGTTGGAGAACCTCAGCCTGAAGGTTTCTGCATACTAACTGCTGGCTCTGTTCATTTACTGGCTATATGGGATTGACATAATTAAATATCTTAAAATCCAAGGGGGAGAGGCACTATGGAGTGGGCAGGGGATTCTGGGAGCCCTTCAAGAAGGACCCTTCTACCAGCACTCCCTCCCAGTCAGCCCGTGGACCCGGAGGAGTGGGTGGGCAGGCCGGGGAGGTCGAGTGCTGCAGGTCTCCTGAACTGTGTGCTCGAAATGTACGGCTTTTAATTAGTGACACAGGCTACTTATTGGGACGTGGTGGGTTTGGAGTGTTCACTTGAAAGCCCCAAGGAAAACGACTCTCACCATCACGTGGATTCAAGAGAAACTTTCTTTGCGAACTCGGCCATAAACAGCAACTGAGTATCAGACGGCCCTAAAGTCATGAGCAAGACTCGAATGTCTTCATCTACCACAGTGACATTTCAGTGGTATTTACAGTTAGCAGTAAGTTTACTGTTCTCCCACTCGGCAACATGCACTTGTGTTATAAGCAGGCATTTTTATAAAAGGTTTTGTCAAGTTAAAATGGTTTTACAGTTTTTCTCAATTGCTTTGACACATTTCTCAAATTGTAATTACATTTGCAAAACGAGTATGATCCCCACACCATAATGTGACTTCTGCACAGCAGAAAATCATTTCTCATGGTTTCACACAAATTTCCAAATGTTTTAGGTTTTAGTACATGTATGCAAATGGTCTTGACCAATTCGTACCATTTGACATAATCTTCAGTTGCTTATGTCTACTTCTTTGAAATAGCTTATTTAGTTTCACAGTGAAATAAAGTAAATAATTTTACATTCAAAACACACTCTCTCTCTGTCTCTCTCTCTCTCTCTCTCTNTATATATATATATATATATATATATATATATATATATATATATATACATATATATATATATACTGTGTGTGTGTGTGTGTGAGCATCATGTTAGTCACCGCATGCAAAACAGTTCACACCAAACTTTCAGAATGATTGAAGAATACAGTGGTACCTCAATTCTCGAACTCATTAGAACTCGAATTTCTTAAAGGTCGAACCAACCAGTTCAAAAAAAAATTACCTAGAACTCGATCTGAATCTCAGAAGTCAAACCATGAACGCCGACCTAAGATAACTTGTACGCGCGGGGAAATGAGTCACACGGCAAAGGGTAACGCTTCAGTCTCAGCCTCGCATTCACTGTGATAGCATCGTGCATGTTTACACTAGCTGAATACATATATTTAGACAGTAAAAATACATTTAGACAGTAGCAGTAATTCTTATTATATTATAAAATACATTTAAAAATAAAGATTTCTTATTAACTATTTTAAATATTAATTATAAACCATTAATACATTTAATTATAATAATGTGCTTGTGCCGAGCGGGGATGGAATGGAGACAAAGGCGCAGACATCAGGGTATCGGGGAATACGGGGTTTAATTACAGGTAAGGCAGGCAAAACGCAGACGGACAATACAATGACCGGACTGGGGAAACAAACTGAAATGCGGACTAAATACAGAGGACTAATGAAAACAACCAGAAACAGCTGATCACACGGGGATTCCACATGGGGTTAATGAAGGGGCGTGGCACACGGAAGAAGCGGACTATCGTTGAATTGATGTTTTTTTTAACTTTACACATTGTTTGGATACATTAATTTTCTTACTTTACAAATTACTGTTTTGATTAATGTGCTTAGATGTGTTTAGTACAGTATATGCTCTTCTTGTTTTATCCGGTTCGTTTTGTGTATATTTCATAAATTGCAGTCATACAACATTGTTGTGTTTTTGGATCCTGTAAGACATGATATTGTTGCCAGTTTGTTGTATTAGTGTTATACAGTGATGTGAGTTTTTGTTCACTATTGTACTGTGTCTTGAGATCTGAAATATGCATGTGTTTTCCAGTGAGCTTTACACACTGTACTGTAGAGCCATTCAATAAAACTGGTGTCTGACAGGAATAAGTATCAGTTCACGAAAGAAGAACGATCGGTCAGTGACAATGAGAAAGTGGGAACCGACTATCATTCAGAATTACGGAGCTCAGGAGCATACTTACACTGTCATACTTACATTGACATACTGACAATATATCTAAGCATTGACTCTCATGGTTAAAACAATGTTGATTGAACTTTTCATTTCAGCAACTATAATTCATTGATCAAATTATTTGCTTTTCAGACATTCATTGTTTTTTGTGAGTTACGGCCTTTTGCAGCTTAAACATAAACTGTTTTGAAAAACGTTCTTATAATTGTGAGAATGGTTAGTATGTTTCATGAAATGTGTCAACGTAATTGAGTAAAACTGTACCAGTGAACTTTTCATACTGTAATGCAAAGTCTTGTGTCCTGTGTAATGTTGAAACTGGTGTTTTTTGCAGACATACTGTACATATCAAGTATGATCAGTCAGTAACATGGAGAAAGCAGGAAACCTTCACTTCATTCATACTTGTGCTGACATTTTGACAATATGTCTAAGCATTTTGACTGTCATGGTCAAAACTATTCTGACAGTACTTTCATTTTAATGGCACTGACTAATTCATTGATGGGATGATTTGCTTCTGAGACATGAGTGTGTTGAGTTACAGTCTCCTGCAGCTTAACCATACTGTTGCGCTGTATGCAAAATTGATGTAGGGGATACTTTTATAGTGATAATGCTAAGTAATGTGTCAAAGCAATCAAGAAAATATAAACAAAGAAATAAGAATTACTCCTGTACATATATATCTTCAAATATTTGTGGTAATAATTTAAAATTTATTTAATGCATATTATATGAACCATCATATCTGTTTTTCAGACAGACAGACAGATCTGATGGATGGATGGATGGATGCATGCATAATCCCCTGTATCTGGTCCACACTGTGTTCCCACATGACTCAGCCACACACTCCAGAGTGAGGTGTGAATATACCTGCCCACTCCATAGTGCCACGTGAATATGTCAGCAGCAGGCTGAGGAGGTCACAGCCCCCCCACGTGGTTCATAGAAAGGCCCCCCCCCATCCCCAGCACCGGCTACGCTTATGGACAACAATGCAGCAGTCAAAGAGATTTATGATTGTTCATTTTTAGCCTGATTAATGGTGAGAAAAGCCAGCTATTCTCATTAATCTGCAACTCCGACTTCAGATGGGATTCACGATTCCAGAAGACCAGCTCGTAATGACGGCGGAATTACGACAAAGCTGATACTGTTGTTGTTGAATGGCGGCGGCGTGTCTCAGGGGGACTTAGCCGGACTGGCCAGTCTCGAGGATCATCTTTTCCATGTCCTCCCTTAACACTGTAAGCCGCTGTCGCGTTAGTGATGTTGTTAGCAAAGGGCCATCCTGTTCCCAAATCTCCAGCACCAATCCGTACCATCAACCGCTATTCAGCAATTGTTCAAAAATTACCCAATTACACATTACTGAGACTCATAAGAACAGAGGCACAATAAACAATCACGAAAAATTATATTTACTTAACATAGCTAATAAACTCAGGGTATAAAAACTGCTACCTGATTTACTTTTAAATGCAATACGCCTGATATGTCACGGCTTGGATTGTGGCCTGACCCCTTTTTACTCCAAAGACAGACAAACATCAACGGACTTATTGCCTGACTTGGTCAAGCATTTGCTAGTTTTTTTTTTTTTTTTATACAGTAGCTGTAACGTGTCAACAAAGATCACACTAACAAGTGAGCCGTCGTTATTGTCCCTGAGAGCCGTGGGTGACCCTGGCCACCGATACCCCCGTAGAGGCTGGCACGTGGCTCTCGGTGACACTGGCTCATTTTGTCGGGTCTAACTTGGAGGTACCGCCTTTGATATATAATTAGGAAGCTGAAGCTGAAGCTGAGTTGCACATCCTGGTGCAGTTGAGTCAGGTATCTGAAGGTCCTGCAGATCCCCGGATGGTTAATGTCAGCTGAGCCTAGCTAGTGAAAGATAACTGGTTAGCCAACTGCTCTGTGGACACTAACCCATGTGACCAGAGGCAGGCAGTCGCTGTAAAAGAGAACCCCCCCCCCCCCAACTAATGTGTTTCAGATGATAAATGATCCTCAGTGCCCACGCGGAGCTTGCCGCCCCCACATCCCGCGCTGCGTGGTGAGTAATGCCCCATGCACCTGCATACACCAGCTCCTTTTAATTAGACGTATTCTCCGTTATCTCACCCCATGCTTGCCTCACCTTCTAGATGCTTCCGCGAGGCATGTTAGCACTTAGCGGACATGTCTGCCAAACGTGCACCTGCAATTACCAGCCAGGCGAAGAATTCAGCGTGATATTCACGACCGCGTGAAACAAATAACTACAGTATATTATACGTAATATAGCATCAGTGTAAAACTGTTTACATGCCAATGTATTTCCTTTATTGTACTTTTATCATTCCTCAAAAATGCGTGCCGACTCCTGAGTGTCCCTCACCCGGGTTCCTCACGTGACGGCCCATTCGTTGCTGTGACCCTCATTCCTGAACTCGGAAAACGATTACAGCAGAATTACAAACGTGATGCATTTGACCCATAGCTGAGTGCCTGTTTTGAGACTTTATTATCTTTAATAGAGTGAAATGGTCTCGCTAATCATTATGCTCCCTGCGACGTCACGCAAGGCTCTGCCAGGTGGATGCTATGAAAAGCATAAGATGATTGCAAAAAAAGGACAGATGCAATTAATTATATAACCAGCTGGATTTTGTAATTGCATATCTGTCTGGTCACCTTATTTGTTCATATCCAAAAGCAGACTTTTGCAGTCTAACGAAAGTCAACAACACATCCTTCAGGGATGGTCGTTAGGCTCGGATTTTACCAAAGAGTCTCTCCTCCGAGAGAAACAACGTCTCTGTCTCCCATGTTTGGATTCCCACATTAATTTGACAGGCTGTCGTTTCTGTTTCAAGGATGTTGAACCGATCAAAAAAGCCTCCCAAAGCAGAGGTATTCAACCTAAAGTCTGCAGTACTTCATAAAGTATACAATCACGCATTAGTGGTGCGGGTCCCACTGTGGCCTGTTTTCATTTGAGGGTCCCTGGTTTAAAAAGGCTAAAAACCCCTGATCTAAATAAATGGATTTTGGAGAAACAGCCTCATCCTGCACGCATCTTCAAGGGTCGGTGTGAGATCTGAAGACGCCCAGCTTGATGCCTTCTAAGAGACAGCCATGGAGCGTCAACTCCGACAGGAACGACAGCCAAACCCACATGGAGGATGTCAGTCAGATAAGCAGCGGCCTCATGACCGATCCTGACACACCATCATTGTCAAAAACCCACATGACCACTCAGATAAGACTGTGAATTATGGTTAGTCACTAAGTTATAACCAGACAAAGAAAAAAAGAACTACATGTGTGTGACTAGCAAGTTGGGGGCTACTAACTTATTCAAGTTAACTGGTTTCTTCATATTATCGTTAAAGTGAAAAAATAAGGGCTGACTTACAGTCCCTGAAATGTGACATTGATGCTAAAATATGTCAAAGAGGGTTTCTTTTTGAAGGAATTTGACTTTTATTCTGAATTCTACTGTGATTCCTGGTGGTTAATTTCCAAAAATAAGTCCATCAGTAATGGCAAAATAATATTTGATTCTGTCTGTGATGTCATCAGCCCGCCCAGGAACTGTGACTGTGACTAGGTCTACCAACATTTCTGTGACTCATGAAATACATTTGATATTTTGAATGATGAACAGTAATGCACAGGCAACAGCAAGAAAGTGAAGAGGATTTGGGTAGAGATAAATAATATTTTTTTCTTTCCTTTTTATACTTACCATTGTGAGGCACAACATATGGGAAAGCCAGTAAACACAAAACCCACCTACACCCACGAACAATTTAACAGCTTTATGTCAATATGCTGCCATCTTCTGGCAGTTCCTGATAATTGCACGAACAACAAATTCTGCAATCAAGAACTTATCAGTAAGTATCTATCGCCCTCTAGTGTACAGTTCTATGTACTGGATATTTTATTGAATGAGGTAAAAAAAGATTTTGCCAAAGGGTACCTTAATAGCTGCTAGTCCTGCCTCTCGAACCTGAAACCCACTGTTCTATCAGAAAATATTGCTGTGTGTTTCAGTATATAAGGTAAAATACAACAAACATCTACAAAATATTAAAACTGTGACATTAGCATTAATATGAACAGACTGGATAAAAATTAGGGTACCCAAGCCCTGTGCCCTGTGAGGGACCGGCATCCCATCCAGAGGGTACCCAAGCCCTGTGCCCTGTGCTTTCGGGCTCCTGGCCTTCCTGCATAATACAAGTACATGGAACAATGTTACAAATTTCCCCATAACTCACCTGAGCATCATGTGCTGAATTTGACTAATCTAAATTTCAACAAAGACTGTGACTGTGTATTACAAAAATTATTCCGTTACTTTGTCCCCCGAGCATAGGTAGGAAATACCCGTTTGCTATTTACAGAGAATAAGAGTTGTCCATACATTCCAAAAACTTCACATTTATAGGAATATTCCAGGAAGTCGCACGTAGAAATGCTCAGTTTATCAACGGTAGTATATTTTAAGTGCCTAACCTTCCTCGAATGCCTCACTTACGTGATGTCCATAAATGCAGGTGCAGACTATTAAGGGAGGGTTTTCTGTAATCAAGTGTGAACTCTGTGTGGGACCCAAGTGTGCAGGCCCTTGTAACTATCCCACCAAGCTCTGCAATTACCACATAATCTGCACAGGGCAGTGAGAATCCAGCCAGCCGACAGCCCCTCACATATTTCTGAATGACAGATGATTCAGTCAGATTTTCTCTGCTTCCGTTCTCTGTACTTAATCCTCTCCTACTGAATATCTATGTGCATTTTAAGCTCTTCAAAGTTTATCTGCACATTAAATATAGTTAGAGGGAAAAAACCATTAAAACCAGATTAATATTATTACGCCAATCATATACCGAAACACTAGACTAATTATTCATGTTCCTGGTTTTTATGTCTAGAGCTTGTCAGGGCATCAGACACATGAGCAACACAAAACTTCTAATAAATAACCAAAAGCTTTCTTAAAGTTTGTGAATACAGTAAAATCCTGTTATAATGGACTTTAAGGGACCTGGCAAAACAGTCCGTTACATCCAGAGTTGCTGTATGCCCAGAACACAACTACAGGACACCATTTACTCATGCCACACCTCAGCAGACACACTTGTGGTATAGATTATTATATTGTACATGTAGTAATCCAACTTTACCTGACCAGATGCGTGACTATTAATAATCCCGACTACGTACGTATCTGCGCTGGATATCACCGGCACGCCACACACCTCGTAGGTGGAGCTGCATGTCCGTTACAGCCGAACAAAACTACAGCTAAAAGCGGCCCTGGGAACCAAATTGTTTGTCCATTATAAGCGAAATGCCTTTTCTGCATGTTCTTAAAGGCGCACGGCCGGGACCAGCGGACCTTGTCCGTTATAGATGATATTCCATTATAAGCGAGTGCACTATAACAGGATTTTACTGTATCGTGAAAATGTGTTGCAGTGCAGAGTAAGTTTGAGTGCATATATTTTTTTTTAATTTTATTTGGGACAATGCACATTAATGAACAAACACTACAATGAAATAATCAAGAAATGATTGTAAATGAGCCAGATTATAGCACAATCGCTAGTTTACATCTGTAGTCCTTGTAGTAACTATTGAACTAAAGCAGCACAGTTAAAAACTATAATCAGGAAAATATGCTTTCACTAGTTTGCATGTCTTTTGCTCTCTAGCCAGTAGGGGGGAGTAATGCCAAGGCACCTCACCTGATTGGTGGACGCTGCGCAGGCAGGACAGCGAGGCGTTGAGGCGAGCGCACTCCTCGGGGCTGGCGCCCAGCTTCTGCACAGTCTCACACACCTGCTCGTCGCTCATGTCCAGCAGCGCCTCCAGGGTAAGCTGGCACGGGCCGATCTCCTGAAAAGAAGGGAGGGGGGTGCGTGATACAGGAGACCCAACCCTGAGAACGTTCCAGAAAGGCAGTATGTACGATGAGACGTGGGAAAACAGAACGCTGGAGCAAACAGTCAGGTATCCCTGCACCAACCACCCCCCCCCCACACACACACACACACAAAAACCCAGCAAATCTTAAATCACATGCTTCAGAAGATATCTGCACACCAGGATCTCTTAGCCATCTTGATAAAATATCTTTCATTAGCAACAATCACAGCCACATTTCACTAATGTCAATATATACTGATTTTCTTTTGCAGTCATGGTGGCTAAATGACGAGGGCTGCATATGATGTCACACAGTATCATCCACACCAAACAAAGGCGTCATCCGCCATTTTGGTGCCTTGTTTCCGCTTCGGTGTGAAACTCCATGCGTACTGTCTGTGCTCTTTTGTCACATTCATCATGGTCAGGTGTGCTGCTGTCGGCTGTGTTCAACACAAAGGTGAAGTGTCCTTTAAGATTCACCAAATCGCAAAATAAATTTATCTCCATTTTATCTAGCGAAAGAGCTGCCAACAATATTTACACAACATTTCAAGAGCGGATCTCACTGAGAAGAACCTTAACAGTGCTGGAGCATTTGCAGGTCACTTTGTAAAAGGTAAGACTAGTGCGAAAATTACTAGTGTTTCTATGAGTTCATTTCCGCACATAACAGTACTGATCTCCGGAAGCTGGTAAACACCAGCTTAGCTTTTATTAGCATGCTAACACTACAGCAGCTGCTGATCCCCATTCTGTTTTGTGGTGACTGAAGTTACTTAGGGGAACCATGCATATGTACTCTTTTTCAGAGACCCCTTTTGTTTGAGATCTAAAAATACCTGAAATGTCTAGGATTTCGCTTTGTTTCAGCAAAACATAATTCTCTCCTGCCCCTTCAACACCTTAGCTACTGTGTGGTGAGTGTACTGGTGCAGAATGGCTGTTGTCACATCATCATCAATACACATTGGTGGTGGTTTAAGTGGCTCCCCATTGGTTCTGTGGAGCGTTTTGGGTGTCTTGAAAAGTGCTATATAAATGTAACTTTCATTCATTCATTCATTCGTTCTACAGTTAGAGTACTTTCTTTGTGCATATTTGCGATGTTTTGACGCATCTATTGGTTTCCTGATCCCAGTGTCTTCTTTTTTGCAAAAGTAAAACGGAGACACCAAGCCATTTTATTGTTATTTGTGCTATATAATTAATGAGAAGTAAGCTGATGACAAAATTATTGTTTGGTTTAAAGATGCAATGTGGAAACGTATCCTAAAGGCCATACCTATCCTTTCACATTAGGCAAACCAGCCACTACGGCAGAGGCACTGGACATCAACAGTGAACGTGGCACATGGGCCAGTGTGAAGTCTGACAGTATTACAGGCACAGAACAGACTCAGACAGTCCTTTCAATATATAATAATTAATGATGAATAATAAGCATGTGAATTACACTTGTACTTAGCCATGAATACACCGAAATATTGTATCCACACTTTTTCCTTTGCAGTTCATGTACCGAGCCTGTAATTAATCCTCCAGACTTTGCGTCACTTTCACTTTCCGCAGTTACTGCTGCCTACCAAGAGTGTAGCACAGGGGTGGATCAGCGAAGGTTTGGGCTGCAATATCATGGCATTCCCTAGGTCCACTGCTTGTTCTATATGGGTGCGTCAATCACAATGTCTACCAAACCATTCTGGACGTCCATGTTCATCCAATGGTTCAAACATTGTATCCCGAAGGTGGTGCCGTGTATCAGGATGATATTGCACCAATAAACAGAGCAAAACTGGTCACAGAGTGGTTTTATCAACATGAAAGTGACGTTGAACACCTCCCATGGCCTGCACAGCCACCAGATCTGCATATTTTGCTGTTATTTCCTGGTGTAATTCTTCAGTGTTATTCAGTGTTATTTCCTGTTGTTATTTCCTGGTGTTATTTTCCTGGTGTTATTTCCTGATGTTATTTCTTGGTGTTATTCTTGGTGTTATAACAACAGGTTATTCCTGGTGTTATTCCCTGGTGTTATTTCCTGGTGTTGCTGAGTATTCTTCAGGAAATAACACCAGGAAAATAACACCAGGAAAATAACACCAGGAAATAGCACTGAAGAATAACAGGAAATAACACTGAAGAATATTATTTCCTGGTGTTATTCTTCAGTGTTATTTCCTGATGTTATTTCTTGGTGTTATCTCCATTTCAGGGACAGGGCCTGAGCCTGCACTCCATTTCAGTGACAGGGCCTGAGCCTGTACACCATTTCTGTGACAGAGCCTGAGCCTGAACTCCATTTCAGTGACAGGACCTGAGCATGTGTTCTATTTCAGTGATAGGGCCTGAGCCTGAACTCCGTTTCAGGGACAGGGCCTGAGCCTGTACACCATTACTGTGACAGAGCCTGAGCCTGCACTCCATTACAGTGACAGGCCCTAAGCCTGAACTCCATTTCTGTGACAGAGCCTGAGCCTGCACTCCATTTCAGTGACAGGGCCTAAGCCTGAACTCCATTTCAGGGACAGGGCCTGAGCCTGTACACCATTTCTGTGACAGAGCCTGAGCCTGCACTCCATTTCTGCGACAGGGCCTAAGCCTGTACACCATTTCTGTGACAGAGCCTGAGCCTGCACTCCATTTCTGTTACAGAGCCTGAGCCTGCACTGCATTTCAGTGACAGGGCCTAAGCCTGAACTCCATTTCAGTGTCAGGGCCTGAGCCTGCACTCCATTTCAGTGACAGGACCTGAGCCTGCACTCCATTTCAGGGACAGGGCCTGAGCCTGCACTCCATTTCAGTGACAGGGTCTGAGTCTGCGCTCCATTTCAGGGACAGGGCCTGAGCCTGCACTCCATTTCAGTGACAGGGCCTGAGTCTGCGCTCCATTTCAGTGACAGGATCTGAGTCTGCGCTCCATTTCAGGGACAGGGCCTGAGCCTGCGCTCCATTTCAGGGACAGGGCCTGAGCCTGCACTCCATTTCAGGGACAGGACCTGAGCCTGCGCTCCATTTCAGTGTCAGGGCCTGAGCCTGCCCTCCATTTCAGTGACAGGACCTGAGCCTGCACTCCATTTCAGGGACAGGGCCTGAGCCTGCACTCCATTTCTGTGACAGGGCCTGGAGCTTGAACTTTTTTTCTCTGTTTGTGCACTAGATGGAAGATATTGAGCTAAAAAAGCAGACTGTTCTCACCTAAAGCCAGGCTGTCTGGCCACCCAAGGAGAAACATTGAATTTTTCTACCAAATGACACATATTTGTTCCCTGACTATCTGTTAGATATGTCAAATTGAAGGCAGAAACAAATAATGGAGTGTGGTCTAAAAGAAGGAGTTTCTCACAGTTATGTCAGTCCATGGCCTGAAACACTGGGAGTGCACAGCCAAAGAAATAGCCATTTCAGGAGAGTCATGTGACCTTGATTATTCAGATTGATCCCCTGGTGGAGGGAAAGGGTATGGCCCAGTACATTCTGTCTTTTTCGCCCCTGGAAACCCGGATACAAATTTGACGCCGGGCCCAAGACCCAGAGTCTCCTCCGGTGAGATTGATCCCCTGCGTCTGTGAGCAGGAAGCCCCTGTTTTGGTTGCACTGTTCCTGTTGTGTTAGCCCTGCCTAACCTCAAAAAGGGAAAAAAAGCATAAATAAACTGGCTCCTCACTGCCAAGTCACTGCATCACGTGGTTCTGTTTGCATTCTAGCCGGTAACGGTCTCACAGTTATGCGTATGAGTATGTTCAACGCTAAAAAAAGACTGTTATATGCTGTTTGTTTGCACTGTTACAGTCACTTTCACTACAAACTGTTATTGTGGAAAAATATTATATTTAAACAATATGTTTACTGGAATACTGCAACTATCACTATGAGAAGTACACAGAAGATGGATGTATGGATGGATGGATGGATGGATGGATGGATGGATGGATGGCAAACTCAAAGAATGCTTGAGTTAATGCTTGTTAACTCAAGCATTCTTTCCCAACCTGGGCCTTGGGGTCCCGCAGACAGCCCATGTTTTTGCTCCTTCCCAGCTCACTGCCATGTCCGCATTCTGGCTGGCAAGAGGCAAAAACATGGACTGTCTGTCTGCCTGCCTGCCTGCCTGTCTGTGTATCTGTCTGACTGCCTGTCTGTCTGTCTGTGTCTCTGTCTGACTGCCTGTCTCTGTCTGACTGCCTGTCTGTCTGCCTGTCTGTCTGCCTGTCTGTCTGTGTCTCTGTCTGCCTGTCTGCCTGCCTGCCTGTCTGTCTGTGTATCTGTCTGACTGCCTGTCTGTCTGCCTGTGTCTCTGTCTGACTGCCTGCCTGTCTGCCTCTCTGTCTGACTGCCTGTCTGTGTCTCTGTCTGTCTGTCTGTCTGCCTGTCTGTGTCTCTGTCTGTCTGCCTGTCTGTGTCTCTGTCTCTTTCTCTGTCTGTCTGTCTCTGTCTGACTGCCTGTGTGGCTCTGTCTGCCTGTCTGTCTGCGTCTCTGTCTGTCTACCTGTCTGTCTGCCTGTCTGTGTCTCTGTCTGACTGCCTGTCTGTCTGCCTGTCTGTCTGTGTCTCTGTCTGACTGCCTGTCTGTCTGCCTGCTCATCTGTCTGCCTGTCTTTGGGGGCACATAATGGTAAAATGACCCTACATAGAGAGTGGCCCCTGAAAACCAGGTGGGAGAGAAAAACAACATGACACATGGGATGAAAAGAAGGACAGGGATCTGAACTGGGAGTAGGGAGAGGAATGAATGTAGACAAGACAGTGTCAGTGAAATTCCTAGACTGTTATCTGTTATGCAACAGTCTTAAGTTAACCACACCCCCAAAAGTAAGATATGCCAGCCCACTTTCAAGCTCAATGGACATGCACATTCGGACTTCAACAGTTATGCAGGTATTGTGAAGAACGAAGTGGAGGACAACAGCTTAAATAGCAGGCTGTATATATAAGTAGCTTCCTGTAGCTTACTTTTGATTAGCTAAACAAATATCGAATCAATATTCTAGTAAAAAAAAATTAATTGAAACTCCAAATTCATTGCAAACAAAACATTTACAAGATGCTCTGCTTGCTGTTTGGAGTTCTTGATAAAACTTACATGACGAAGCTACCGTCGTAAAATCATTTGCTGCGTGAGATGAAAAATAATTAATTTCAATGTACTTGTTACAATGCTAAAAACAAAATTATGATTATGTTGATGTTGTGCGTAGGCTGAAGTGGAACTATTACAGTTACGTATGGCAAATTGGTTCTGTGTGAGCCATCACAGTGCCTCACTGTAAACCCGCCAATCACAGCGGAGCTCATGAACATATTAATAAGCCCACCAAATAAGGGACACCAACCTGTTTCATTCTAGGGCCAAATTATTGGGCAGTAAATGGACCTGTAAAACCACTTCTGTACATTTTTTGGCCAAACCAAGTTCACATACCTTCTATGTAGACACCAGAGAACAATTTGAATGGATAGGTTAGGGTTTTCTGGGGATGAGGGATACATAGATTCCAATCCATGACCTTCAGTAAGGTATAGGTGAAGTGATAGGCTGGTTACATGGGCCGGATCACATGACTTTACATTTTCCCCATTAAGAACACTTGACTTGCTTTTTCCATTATCAATATCCATCTGCTTTTTTGGCTAGCAAATGCTAAAAGTAGTGGTCCCCGCAAAGGCATGAACACAAACATTTGCGTAGGCACACATCTGGCCCTGTGAGTATGTGAAAGTCTGTCTGACCATTTGAGTCTGGATGTATGCCCAACGTCTCACACCACGTTCTGGGGGACCCAGGCCGGCCAGCTCACCTCGATCACCTCCTTCCTCATGTCAACAATGCGGCACCAGTGGGCCAGGTGAGGGAAGCCGTCCAGCTCAGCACTGCGGTCCCGCAGCGCCACCTGTCGCTTGAAAGACAGCTGACGGCTAAAGTACTTCACCAGTTTGCCCTGAAAGAGGCGGAAATGAAGTCAGTAAGAATCCAGTAAAGGCACACAACATGTTTCACAAAACTCAGATGTGACAATCCCTTCGGACATATAATTCCTCAATCCTTTAGTCATCTTCTGTGTGCAAATGGTCCAAAATGGATTTACAAAACGCCATCAGCATTTCATATATATTTCTATACAAAATATAATTTTTGTAGCTGTATACAAAATATTATTTTTGCGTGCTTATTAGCTTTCTTTTTTATTTTTTACTTTCTTATTTGCTTTTTGCATTTGTTTTGCTGTTGAATTCTGGAGCACCTAGGAAACAGTTGTTCTCAAGATGACAATCCTGTAAACAAAATTAAAAAAAAAAAACAGCAAACGTGTTGAATATAATAACGTGTTGAATAACCGATCTCTGGCCGCCAAAATGTCACAGGCACCATAAAAAGTAAGCATGTAATTATGGTACGGTCGGAAGATGTAATAAGTTTGTTTGTCCACCAGAGGGAGTAACAAGCATCACTGAGTAGCACTTTCTGGCGTGAAGACGACAGCACGCAAACAAGCTTACTGGATATAAACACCAAAATATACTTTGTCCAAACGTGAAAAACCTTCAAAATGACACCAACACCATAATAAAAGTTCCCAAAAATATTCATTGTAATGAAAAACACATTAAAAATATCTTAAAAGTGCCATTTCCCGATTGCCTCAAGTGGCACATTTCTCAAATAGCAATTACATTTGCAAAACATCGAGTGTGATCCCCACACCATGATGTCACTTCTGCACAGCAGAATATCATTTCTCTTCCATTTGGCATAATGTTCAGTTGCTTAAGACTTGTCGGTCAGAATAGAGTACGTATTTTCTCATTGAAATAAGTTTACATTCAAAACTATGTAAGTGATCGTCATCATGTAAGCCACCACATGCAAAACATGATTCAAGAATATATTTCATAAATTGCAGTGACACAGAATTGCTGTGTTTATGGTTCCCAGAGCACATGGTTTTGTTGCCATTTTGCTGCATTGGTGTCATAGTTACATGTTATGGTGCATTATGTTATAGTGCCATGTGACTTTTTTGTTCACTATTGTACTGTGTCTTCAGATCTAAAGAAGTTACATGTGCATGCGAGTACTTTCTTTTACCAGTGAATATCACATCCTGTGATGCAAAGTTTTGTAATGTTGAAACTAGTGTTTTTGGCATGAATAAGTATAATATGAATAAGTGTTTTCTAAATAATTATGATCAGTCAGTAACACTGAGAATGAGGGAAACCTTAACTTCATTCAGAATTGTGGAGGTAGCCAGTATACTTATGCTGACATTATGACAATATGTCTAAGCATTTTGACTGTCATAATAAAAACTATTCTGAAGGTATGTAATTGCACTGGCTAATTATCTGATGGAATTATTTGCTTTTGAAACATGAGTTAATTGTTTTGTGAGTTACAGCCTTTTGCAGCTTAACAATTCCTTTGTGCTATTTGTATGAACTTTGGAGAAATGTTCTTAGTGTTCTGAGAATGTTAAGTATGTTTCATGAAAAGTGCCAAAGCAATGGAGAAAATCTGTAAAAGTGTTTAGGCAGCTGGGTTTGGGGTTAGGGTGACCGTAAGGCTTAGTTTTCCCTGATTGCTTTGACACATTTCTCAAATGACAACTAACGTTTGCAAAACAACGAGTGTAACCCCCACACCATAATGTCTCTTCTGCACAGAACATCATTTCTCATTGTTTCACACAAATTTCCAAATGTTTTACAACATGCATGCAGTGTTTTGTATAATTGTCATCGCTTGGCATAATTTTCATTTGCTTTAGTCTTGTCGGTCAAAATGGTTTATGTCGGTAAGACACAAATATGCAAAGCAGTTCACCAAACTTTTAAATATATATTCCTTAAATTGCAGTGATGCAGCATTGTTGTATCTTGGTTCTCACAGTACATGATTTTGTTGTTCTTGTGTTGCCATTTTGCTCTTTTTGTGTTAAAAGTTCTGTCTGACTTTTTTTGTTTCCTACTGTACAGTGAGTTGAGATCTGAAAAATGCATACTTTCTTTCAACAGTGAACTTTACATATAGTAATATGGAGCTTAGCAAAGCTGAAACGGGTGTCTGACAGGAATAAGTATCAGTTCACTAAAGAAGAACGATTGGTCAGTGACAATGAGAAAGTGGGAACCAACTATCATTCAGAATTACGGAGCTCAGGAGCATACTTACACTGTCATACCTACACTGACATACTTACACTGTCATACTTACACTGTCATACTTACACTGACATACTTACACTGTCATACCTACACTGACATACTTACACTGACGCACTGACAATATATCTAAGCGTTTTGACTCTCATGGTTAAAATGATGCTAATTGTACTTTTAATTTTGGTGGCACTGACTAATTCATTGGTGGAATTATTTGCTTTTGAGACATGAGTTAATTGTTTTGGGTAAGTTACAGGCTTTTGCAGCTAAACCATAGTGTTGTGCTAAATACATGAACCGTTTTGAGAAATGCTTGTATAGTCTTGAGAATGTTAAGTATGTTTCATGAAATGTGCCGCAGCAATCAAGAAAATCTGTAAGGCTGTGCTTAGGTGTAACGTGGTTCGCATAAGACTTAAAGCTAGGGTTAGGGTAGATAGTAAACTAGAGTTAGCAGTGGAGTAGGGGTATTGTAGCTACAGAATTATGGTAAAGGTTGGCAAAAAGGTTAAGGTTATTATTAGGATAAGAATTAGGGTTAGAGATTTGCCACAAGGTTTAGAGTTACAGTTAAGGCTAGCATTAGTTTGGGTAATAGGGTTAGGGTTAGTGTTGCTTTATGTTTTGTAACTGTGGTATAAAACAGATCTACTACTATAAATCAGTGTCTAAATGCATCTCTACAGGAAACCATGGGAGTGAAAACATGTCTTGTGTAACAACAATAAAAGGTTCACTTCTGTGTAGTGATAAATGGGTTACGTTTACGATGTTCTTTGTTGGTGTTGGTGGTGCTCATGTAATGACTACAGCACAGCAAAAAACTAGGCCAGGGTCAGGGTCAGTATTAAAATCACACGCATGAATCCAGGAGTAGGACACCTAGCGCACCCCGTGAGTAATGATTAAGTGATTAAATGATTAAAGCACTGGAGCAGCTTCCGTGTGTCCTAATCCATTATTCATTACTTTCATTTAAAAAATAGGTCGAAAGGGATGCCCCAAACTTGATAAACAGTACAATAGTTCTGACAGATTTGTTCTGCTTGTTTACTGTGGTAGAAAGATACACGTCCTGCTGGTTGTTTTGCTTTTGTTAGTGAACTTGTGGATCACCAGCTTAGTGTATCCCGTGCTGGGCTTTTTTGAAAGTATTTTTCCAAACCAGCAATTTCTCTGCAATCCTTCTTTGCATCGTTATAACCCTGGTATTCCAGACAGGGAATGTTGTGTTCTGGCTAAATAGATGGACTGAGGGAGGAAGGTGAGAAAGGTGCCACAGCAACGCGACACCGGTGGTTTGCAGAGAGCATTTGTTTTATCACTCAGGAAATAACTCTCTGCGAAATGAGAACGTGACACTTATTGGCAAACGATCTGATGCCTGTTGCAGATACACATACAGTAACACCATCAGGGTGCATGCAGTACAACATCAAACTGTCTCACAAAATGTTCAACCAACTGCTGAAGTAAATACTTCATATGTCACCTCCACTGTAGGTGTCTCCTAATTTCAACTTGGAGGGCAGTTTTACAAACAAACTCACCGAAACTGCTTGGCAAACTCATGGGCAGGACTCAATCAACTCATCAGTAACGTTCTATAATACATCAGTAATAAATATAGTCGACAGTGAATTTTGACATTGACCGGTTTAATTTTTGCAGCCTGCAGAGCAAATTGCATATAATGACATCACCACCTAGCAACGTTTACGTTGGTGTGTTAAGCTTAGTTCATACTTCATTTTCCCGCATGCCATCATGGTTGGCACAGGCATACACAGTGATATTCCACCAGACCAGCAAAGAGCAAAAGTTTTACAACAAACACAAATACTTGCAGTGTAATGAAATAGGTAAACATTTATGAATAGTTTTACAGATATTACTAGGCTTGGGTGGTATTGTGGTAAGACGGTATACCATGGTATTTCGAAATATCAGAGACAAAATCATATAACACTTTTTGCAGCGCTTTTCACGGAGAGGTGCAGCGGTCTGCACTGTTGCCTCACGCCTCTGGGACCTGTGTTTAAGTCTCTGTCTGGATTCCATGTGTGTGGAGTTTGCATGTTTTCCCTGTGTTGTTGTGAACTTTCCTCCAGGTACTCTGATTCCCCCCCCCCCCTCACAGTCCAAAAACATGCTGAAGTTAACTGGAGTTACCAAATTGCCCATAGCTGTGAATGTTGTGTGAGTGGGAGTGTGTGAGTGAATGAGCGTAAGTGGTGTGTGTGAGTGTGTGAGTGAATGGTGTGTGAGTGTGAGTGTGTGAGTGAATGGTGAGTGAGTGAATGGTGTGTGAGTGGGAGTGTGTGAGTGAATGGTGTGTGTGTGAGTGTGTGAGTGAATGAGCGTAAGTGGTGTGTGTGAGTGTGTGAGTGAATGGTGTGTGAGTGTGAGTGTGTGAGTGAATGGTGTGTGAGTGGGAGTGTGTGAGTGAATGAGCGTGAGTGAATGGTGTGTGAGTGTGAGTGTGTGAGTGAATGGTGTGTGAGTGTGAGTGTGTGAGTGAATGGTGTGTGAGTGAATGGTGTGTGAGTGAGTGAATGATGTGTGAGTGTGTGAGTGAATGGTGTGTGAGTTTGAGTGTGTGAGTGAATGGTGTGTGAGTGAATGAGTGTGAGTGAATGAGGTGTGAGTTCGAGTGTGTGAGTGAATGGTGTGTGAGTGAATGGTGTGTGAGTTCGAGTGTGTGAGTGAATGGTGTGTCAGCATATGGTGTGTGAGTGAATGGTGTGTCAGCGTGTGGTGTGTCAGTGTATGGTGTGTGATTGAATGAGTG